AGCTTGATAAAGAGAGGCGCAAGGAAAGCTCGCAATGCGAGCCGCACCAGGGAGCACCAAACTTTAAACCAGGGAGCAGCTGCTCCTGTTACCAGCAAGCTGTTCAAACTGACAAGGTACGCATTAATGCGAGGGTTGGTGTTCCTGCCTACCCCGACCAACCGCGAACACCGGTACAAGGTGTTGCCATCACCAATGAAGTCAAACTTGGGTCACAGCAGGGCGTCGTGGTCGCTCCAGGAGGGCGTCGTGGTCGCTCCGGGAGCTTTCCGTGCGGCGCTTTCCGCTCCATGCACCGAGCTGCATGGCTCTCGATCTCGAAGGCGGATAAGACATCCAGGAAGAGCGTCACCGTACAATCCTCTCCGTCCTGGCCAAAAGGACCACGTCATCGGACTGGAGACCGTCATGCACCAGCACCCCACTCTACAGGTCTCCGAAATGGTGACTTTGGCAGACTTCAAAGTGGCAGGTGGTGACCTGTTGGAAGGTGCTGGTATACATTACAGTATATCAGATGGTACTATTCTACATCGATGGTCTGGGACAGTTAGGCTCAACACTGAGCGGCGCGGCGTGGATGCCATGAGTTTTGACGTTGGGATTATTGGACGTATGGTGCACGGCGGGCCTGCTGGATCTTGCTAGGGAAAAAAGACTCTTTGGACCAACCTTCAAGTACCTCTAAATCCGTTCCCCGTCCATTCTTTGATCCGGACAGCCGCATCATATTCTGAGATTTGGATTCGTCACACGCCTAACCGATCTGGCTGGCTCTCCATACAGCTCTCAAGGCCTTCACTTGGATTTGCACAAAAAGACTCGGGTAAACATGGAACTGGTTGGTGGTTTCAACTCACTTAGAGCAAGATTAGTCAGAGGGTTCAGTCAAATAGTTGAAGGTTGAACATAAACATATCCAAAAGCACCACTGAAAAATAACTATTCAGAAGGGGATTCACTGATTCACCAGGAATATCAAGAATCATCAACAAAACCAAGCCTTACGACCTTACCATACCTTACCCTTGGGGCAACCAGTCTTTGAGGGCTCCAAGTACACCTTCGATTGTGTTTCGTGTGGGTTTGGAGAGTCCAAGTACCTTCTCAACAAGGTACTTGGACCCAAACAACACCTCAGAAAATGGAATCAGATCTGCCTGTTTTGATGGATACCAACGAAGAAGACTGCCAGAACTGGAGCCCTTCAGGGGCGAAAGAACACCCGAACACCGTCGTCGAATTTGTTGGACCATTTGAGGCCGAAAAAAACCGGTGCAGGCGCCTCTGGGGAGGGCGGGACCTTGTCAAGCATCTCTTCCATGGTGAACTGGCCACTTTCCTTGGACTTCGTGGAAGATCCAACGTGAACATCCAGCAGCCAATCATATCGAACTCTTCGATTTGGAGTTGGATGTCGGCCCCAAACTCGTAGCATCGGTGAGATCGATGATGGCAAAAAGTCCTCCAGCGGCCTTTAGAAGTGGACACTGGCTTCCTCGGGCCTTGCAAGAAATCGCTCTATCATCGCTAATGGCAGGGGCTGCCATCGTGGCCATGCAATCTACCCGTCTACCCCGCTGAAAAGGACCACATGGACCATGAAAGAGGAAAACCATCTTTGAGGGTGCCATTCTCAGGGTCCATGTTAGTTTTCAGGAGTGTATCATGGACATCTTCATGAAAAATCTTCCCGAATGGTTCACGTCAGGGCGCCGGTGTGGCGAAGCTTCGGGCGACACATGCCCCATGACGAGACAGTGTGACGTTTCCCCAGTGGTGAGCGATGAGGATGGGCGAAGGCCGCACAAGGAGATTCGTGCGACGCAGCTCCTTGGTGAAAATGGAAGATCTCGAAGCTGCGGAAGCATTCGGCAGCTTCTCTTACGGCACACCAATTCCAACCCAACCGCTTTGAGCTGCAAGTATTATTACATGTTATTAAATTACTAAGTACAATCACATATCCTTCAGCATGACCCAACAGTCAACATCAGTCAACATCCTCGGGTGCACCCAAGACCTCACCCCACCTCTCCAAGGTCTGTTTTGGACTTGACCCCAAAACAAAAAACGGTGAACTTTGAACTTGAACTCGTGTTTTTACACTCCCTGAAACAATCATGGAAGTGCAAGATTGCTCCTGGAAAGGCGATAATCATTCCTCTCCAAACAGGGGATGTCCACTTGCATGTTTGTTGGAGGGAGGATATATGTGTTCATGTGATTTTATGTGTTCGATTTTTGCCAAGATTCCAAGTTCCCGAGGAACAGGTCGTGGAGATCCTCCAGAATCAACAACTCGCCGTCTTGCAAGCCCACCTCCTGACGCCGCGAGGTTCGCGCCGAAAACGACCCCGCAACGCCGAAACGCTCGTTCGACCCGGCCTCCCCCGGGGTCGGAAGGGGTGTCCCGTCTTCGACCTTCCCGGTCGCTGCGGGGGGGTTCGGCGGGCTTCGTAGGTTGGGGTCCCCGGAGCCAAAACCTCCGACAGGGGGGGTTCCGGCGCCCTGAGCGGGTTCGGAGGTTCGGAGGTTCTGATTGGGTGCGTGGACCGTGTGTGGTCTGGAGCAAAGCACTACCTTCGAATCTGGAGCAAAGCCATCAAGGGAGTCTCGGAGCGCGACATTTTGTTGGGGGGATCCTCATCACTGGAGAGTGGTGTTTGTTTATGATGTTGCTGGAGGGTTCTGCAATGCAAGTCGTTCCTGACTCTCCTTTTGCATCGAAACATCCCAAAAGCAAGCACAACATCATTCCAGCACCCAAATCAGGTGGTTGGTAGACTCCCCCTTTTGCCCCCTGACATCCCCTCACTGAAGAAATTCCATCCAACAACCCTCCAAAATCTGGATGGTGCTGGTTGATTTCTCACTTTTCTACAAGTCTTGTCATTCTTCACCAGGACGCCCTCCGCACCGTGCGGGGACGGGCCTTAAGACTGGCGGAGCGGGCGTCATCCTGACGCCGATGCTGGAGCGGAGCCAAGATGATCCTTTTCACCGACCTACCGAAAGCCATCCAAAATCACCAAGCTGTTCGATGGTCATGGGAGGTCATAGCTGCAACACCAAGTTGTCAGATTCTTCACCTTGTTTGAGAACCTTGAGAACCTTGTTTTGAGCTGGGTAAATAAGAAATGACGTCGGTGCCAGTTTTCTGGTGTTTTTTGAACCTCGGGTTTTCGGAGCGATTCGGAATTCTTCATGGACACCTCCCTTAGGCCCTTACCTCTTTCAAAAAATTGTTTTCTAGCCGGGAGGCTCTGAATGGACACTTTTTGGGAAAAAGGCCTGGAGGTTGCTTGTCGAGACCTGAACACCTCCCACATTTAAAAACGTTTTTAGTATCCAAGTGAGAAAGTTTTGTTTATCTCACATTCTATACATTTAGAAACATCCTTAAAATAAATCCACATGTCACTCTTAGAACGTCCTGTTTGAAACCACCGCGCGAAAGAGGACCGAGAACACAAGGCACCTTGAGGATCTTGGAGCTCGGGAAGCCGAAGCGCAGGCGCTGGTGATGTGCCTTGACGCCGGTGAGGCGCAAGACCTCCTCCTGGAAGGCCTTCGCAGCGGAGACGGCGACCAAACAAGCGAGATTGGACAGATTGGGCGAGGTGTTCGGTGTTTTTTGGAGAACATTTCGGTGTTTTTTGGAGAAGCACCTTCATGTAGGGGAATACTATGGGAATACTATGATGTATCTAAGAATACATGAATACATGGTTCCTCCTGGCGAGCAGCCTCTTGATGCCCAAATATCATGATCTGATTGAACCTCCACATGGACCTGTGAAAAAAAGCACTTCTCCAATGATAGAATCCTCCAGTCACCCACCCCAGGCCCAGCCCAAAAGGGGGCGAATTGGACAACAAAACTGGCTTTATGGCTCCAACCACCCATCTTCATCCATCCTCTCCCAGTCACCTGTCATCAAGTCATATCCCTAATTTATCCCTACCACAAGGTGGGTATAGGGTCTTGAAACCATTTCATCACCGTGACATCCAGTAGTGCGACAGCGACACCACCTCTCGCCGCCTGGACTTTCGTCTCGCTCGGGATCTTCATCTCCTTGGAGGCCGCTTTATGAGCGAGGAAATATGGGACGGATGTGGGGATCTAAAGCTGGAATCTAGAAAGAACGCAATTTCATGGAGTAAGTCCACGTACTGCTTTTAGAATGAGGCAGAATGAGTTTCAGACCTGTTTCATGGACAGAAAGCCATGGAGCCACCCCCCCGTCCATGCGAAAGCTGTTCGGAACAATCCGTCCGTTTCAAATGTACCTGTAGGCTCCTTCGATACAATAAAAAGTGTACAAAACTGAAAACTGCTCATTTGAGAAAAAGTGCGACAGACCTTCAAAAAACGTACATATGATGGTCAACCTCCCAAAAAACGCTCTTTGAAGTGCATCGATGGATGTTTCGACATGCACCACTCCCTCCCGCTAAGTGCACATCACACTATGCTGGGCGCCAACGCTGATGAGATCTTTTTGGAACCATATGCCGGGGTCTCAGAGGA